AACATAAATATCCATATATAGATATAACTCAGAGGTGTAACCATCATTTCAGACTCAGAGGCTAATAAATAAAAATAAAAAATCTGGGAACATAACTTTGAATAAATGAATGGAAAAGGATGTGCTCTAATCTCTATATGTTTGATGTGTTTGCTTAGAAGATAAAGGTATTTCTGCAACATTCTAGTGTCTATTGTGCTGCTGTTTTCTATATAAATGGTTACTCAGGAAATTGTTAATGTCATTTGACTAGTGTGTGTCATTCCAATTTTTCCAGTATAATTGCAGAATTATAGTGAATACTACTATATTTTAATCCTTTTACGCATTCAAATTTTGTTAGATATTATCTTCAAAAAATTATAATTTGACTGTTATATGTAAAGTTTACAAGTTATAATTTTTTTTTTTTAATGCAGCAATGGCACGACTCAATTTAGCAACAATGAAGTTGACAAGAAAAAAGAAAGTTATGGCACTAGGAACAATATGGTCAAACATAGAGTATGCAGTGAGTTGGTGGCTTCAACTAATTTATTACTTAATGGTGTTTTATATCCAAAAGCGTTCTCTACATAAGAGATTCTAGAGTGCTTCGAGAGGCAATGGATAAGAGAAATGGATTCAATGTCCCTCAAGGTAAGAAACTTGTTTATACAACAATGTTTACACTTTAGTTTATGCTTAAGTATAAAAAATTATCACTAAAACTTATGTTATTATTAAGGTTACTACTATCTTGTTGATGCTGAATATACAAATTGTCAAGGATTTCTTGCACCATATAGAGGACAACGGTATCACTTGAATGATTGGAAGGAGGGTCACCAACCTACTACCCCTCGTGAATTTTTCAACATGAAGCATTCGGCAGCTAGAAATGTAATAGAGAGATGTTTTGGACTTCTCAAGTTACGTTGGGCAATTCTAAGGAGTCCCTCGTTTTATCCAATTAAGATACAAGTTCGGGTTATTCTAGCTTGTTGTCTTTTACATAATCTTATAAGACAAGAGATGCCAATAGACCCATTGGAAGAAAGTTTAGAAGCTCAGGAACAAGTGATAACTGAAGCACATGGAGAAACTATTACAACGATCGAAACATCAAATGAATGGAGTACTTGGAGAGATAACTTAGCTACTCATATGTTTGATGAATGGAGGGCGAGGAGACAAGGGAGATGATTTTTTTTTTTTTTTAAAAAAAAAAACTTGTGTTTTCTTATCTCATTTTAGATTTTGAGTTGCACTTTAAGAAATGTAATGTTACTTGAAATGTTAGTATGTGTTTGTGTTCCATGTACTTATTTGTTGTTCTATAAATGCTACTTAGACTTTTGGATTTAGTTTTATGGTGTTAAGTAAACTATGGTTCCTTGTTTCGGATTCATGCTTGTGGTGTTTGGTAGTGCTACACTTTTGAATCTACAAATGCCATTAATTTGGTCTTATGTTCCAAAAAATGTACCAACTTGTCAAGACTTGATCTCTAGCCCAAGCTTGAATATGGTTTTTGATGCATGTTAGTGGTGTTTGACAGTTTGTGTAATATTGAATTGCCAGGAGGACATTTTGTTTAGCAGCTATTTAAAAATATTGTTGACTCCCAGCTTATGCATTTTAGTTATCAATGATATATTTATTGTTTAAGGATCTTCTACATAATTTTTATTTTCTAATGAATACCACCGCTAAACATTTTTTATCAGCACCCATATTTTAAGTGAAATTGTACAATATTTGATATGTCTTTTTTACTTTAATATAATATTTATAGAATACTAGTTAAGTTTAGACAACAAGAAGTTTAGTTTTGTCTTTTATTATTGCTTAGTATTTTTCTTTAAAAAAAGGTAATTGCTCTCTCAAAGCCTTTCAAAATTGCTACAAATTTCATTACTTATAAAAAAGTTAATTACTTTTTAGGGCTCTAATACGATGGGTTCACAATAAATAAAAGCAATTATTTGTGAGGTCTTGGGTTCACAACAAATTGTTAGTTTTTTCTTAAATTTTTAATAAATTTTCTTGAATGAAGATTTTCTTACATTTTGTAATATAATTATAATTTTCATAGATTTTACAAAAATGCATTAGTTGGTATAAGCTAGTTATATTTTATTTCATTTTAAAATAATAAAATATGCCATTTTGTTAATATAATTGATATATTATAAGTAAGGGTATTTTGGAGAAACTAATTTAAAAGTTATTCTATTCCAACTTATTAATTGATCTAACCAAACAGGGGAATGGGAATGGTCATTCCATTACTGCATTATTCTCTGTTTGCGGCCAAACAGTGGAATGAGAATCATCATTCCATTCCCACTTACATTCCATTTCTGCCTCATTCCATTCCTGCGCACCAAACATAGCCTAAATACTTTTTAGTTTTACTTTATTTAATTAAGAAGTTTATTATTTTATAATTCTTTAAATTAATCATTTGATATACAAAATTTAAACAATCTCTTTTTTAAAAAATTAAAATAAACAGTATATAGTTTTCTCACGTTACATTTCTTTAAAAATTAAAAATATGCTATAATTTTCGTATTTTAATTAATACTAATGTTATATATATCTCTTAAAATAAAAGAAATAAGGTTATTTATAGCTTAAATATATGTTTTGCCGTTTGAGCTTGATGTTTATTTATCTTAAAATTGAATTTCGAATTAGTTTAGATTTGGGTAGACAATCTTAAGCAGATTATGTATGGGCTTGGATATGGGCCGTAAAATTTTCTTTGGATTACAATCTGGGCTTTTGGATCAATAAAATTTCCAATATGCCCAAAACCATCAACTGGTTCATGTCGATTAGCACAATTCAATAAATTTTATGGACCTGCCCGAACACCATTGTCCACTGTTTAGAGGACATGGTTACAAGTTCTTGGTCAACAATAAAATTCTCGAACATTACGCAATGGTCTAGTTGGTCGAGGCCCCCCAACTGAATGTGTCCGCATTCGAGTCTCTCTTGAAATATATATATATATATATATATATATTCTCAAAAACTATTATCTGAAAATTACTCTGACAGGCTAGTCTCGAATTCTCTCCGGTCATGGGCTCTATTTTTAAGGGTTTAATTGCTGAACTAGACAACATTCCTCAAACAATACTTATTACAGTATAAGTATTTTGGAAAAATGAAAAGCTGAGAGATCGAATTCAATTCCTGAACTTTTTGAATGTATACATTCCTTAATCCTTAGAAATATGCCTTTCTTAATTTGATTGCTTAAAAAGTTAATGTCAAACGAACTCGCAATAGCCCAGTCCTCCTCCCCGAAAGGGGAGTTCGAGTGTTCGAAGAGGCATGAGAATTCGTTTGTGCTTAACCTTTCAAAAAAAAAAAAAAAAAAAAAAGAAAAAGAAAAGAAGAAAAACACAGGATTGTATGTATCACTCATGTATAGCTAAACTGAGAAGTTGGTGTCCTCATATTAATGGAGCCTGCATAGTTTTGGTGCCTATTAAATTTTACACGCATTGAAACCCATGTCACATCCATAAATGCAGCCCCACCCTTCTCTAGTTTGAACTTGTAACATACGTGGTCCTTAGATGCTTTAATATTTAGTTTGGTAGCGCGAACACATTTAATTAGAATGTTAAATAATTTGTGTCGGACACATATACACGACAGGAACATATTGATATGAGTCGAAGACGTCAAAAAAAAATATTTGTCTTTTTAATATTCGCGTGAATACAAAATTGACATGCCATAGATATTCGGACACGGTGTGGACACATCATAGATATTCAGATGGCACAAACACTGATATTTTATTTTTTATTTTGATAAGTAAGGCATTTGAGGATTTTAATAGTTTTTAATAATATGATGGTCATTATATAATTATTTAAAAGATGTTGTTTTATAAAATAATTTTATATTAAACAATCATATACTTATATTTAGTTCAAAAGCTTACATATTTATGTTTCTTTGTTTTCTCATCTTTCTTAATCTTAGCACAATTTTTTTTTCATTGTTAAATTGATAAAAAATAATATTACTTTTTTTTTTTTTTAAATATAATATTATATATATAAATATTTTTATTTATTACTATCTGTCCCAAAAAAAAAAATATCTCGATTTGAAAATTGTGACCCGCGGCGTTCATGCCCTAATTTTATAAAAATGTTGGTAGTGTTGTGGTGTTGTATCGTATAGTGTACAAAAATGACTGTGTTGGTGTTGTTTTGTATCATATAGTGTATTTCGTAGATATTTATTAAAGCTGAAAAACAGAAAAAGATGGAAAGGAAAGCTATGGTTGCATTATTTAATAGGTTGTTGTATTGTTTGGTTAAGTCAAATTAAATAAAACAAAGAAATGACTAAATAATGCATGATGTGTGTTGGTGTTGAAGTGTCAAACGTAAACGTCTAATATTGATTTGATGTGTGAACGCAACCCAAGTAGGGATCCCTTAGATTCGTACTTTCTCGTCTATTTTTTTTCTTTTACATATTTCAAGTTAATTATCTTTTTTAAAAAGTCAAAATTTTTTTCTTTTATATTTTCATCATTATTCTTTATCTTTTTAAAAAATTTTAAAATTTATAACTATATATATTTAAATTAAAAATAATAATTTGATAAGTCTCCTTAAAAAAGTTATAAAATAAAAAATGGACCATTAAAAAAGGACGAAGGTTGTACCATTTTGTAACTTAAAAATATTTTTTAAAGTTGAAAATGTCAGGAAAATAAGGGGAAATGTTTTCCATCTTCAATCCTCCAACTTTTAAAAAGATATTTTTTTTTTTTTATTGGATCCGAAGATAATTAGTGACTTTTTTCTTCCCTCTCTCTGTTAATTTTTCTCCATTCCCACCTTAGTTTCTCTGGTATTTTTTTTTTCTCTGGTATTCCTTCCATTTTTCTTTTCTTTTTTTCTAATCCAAAAAAAAAACAAAAAAAATTACTAAATATTTTGTTTATATTCGGTTACATGAAATCAGTGCTATTAAGAAAATAACTTTTTTTTCATTAATTACAATGAAAATTAACACTAATTACATCGGGTTCAAATTCCGCATAAAAATGATGGTGCGAGTCTGTTGCCGCCAGCAAATCTCTTCCAACTTGTTTTGCCCTCTAACTGCCTACATTCTTTGGCTTCTTCGCCCTACTAAAGATGCTCTCCATCTCTTCCAATGACTTTCCCCTAGTCTCAGGCAAGAAGAAGTAGAAGAACACAAAGGCCACCGCAGATACACCAGCAAACATATAGAAGGTCCCACCAATAGTAATAGCCTCATAGATCGAAATAAAGCTCATGGAGACGGCAGCATTCATGATCCTATTCACAGCCACCCCTATACTATGACCCTGTGCCCTTAACTCCAAGGGATATATCTCAGAACTATAGACCCACGTTACAGGAGCCAACCCAAAGTTGAAGAAGGCCACGTAGGCATAGGTGGACCCAATGCAAAGACACAGAGCCCAAAACAGCTCCTCTTTGGAGTTTTGCACGACGGTCAAACCTGTCCCTAACGCCAATAGTGAGACGATCATACCCCCGGCGCTTGTCAACAACAGCTTCCTCCTCCCTACTTTGTCCAGCAGAAATGTGGCCACCACTATGAAGGACAATTTCGTCACTCCAACAAAGATGGTCGCTAGTAAGAGCTTGCTCTTCTTGTGGACTCCCGCTTTCTTGAAGATTCTTGGGCCGTATAAGATGACGGCTTCGATTCCGGTGGCGTGCTCGAAGAAATGGATGCCGACGCCGGCGAGTAACATCCAGCGCACGGTGGGGGACGGCCTCAGAATCAGCTGCTTCCACGCTTCCTGCCCCTGTTTCTTCCGGGGGAGCTTGACTACGTCGTCGTCGCAGTTCTCGTCGATCCCGGCCGCTATCTTTATGTCCCGGAATCTTGTTAAGGCCTCCTCTTCTGTGTTTGATACTAGGTATAGGATCTTTTTCGCCTCTCCGAGTCGGCCTTGCATGATCAGCCATCTGGGAGATTCGGGCATTTTGAGTATTCCGATTGCCAAGCCGAGTGATGGTATGGCTGCAATGCCCAGCATCAGCCTCCACCCGAGCTTGAGGGTTAGTTTTGCGAAGAAGTAGTTTGATAAGTAGCCGAGTAAGATTCCGATGGCGATGCCCAGCTCCGGTAGGCATGTCAGGAGGCCTCGGTGTTCGGTGGCTGAGATCTCCGCGGAGTAGACCGGTGCAATCATCAGTGCAAAGCCTACTCCGACGCCTGCGACGCATCGGCCGGCCAACAAGACGGGGTAGTTTGGTCCGTATCCCATTAGAATTGAGCCTGTCATGAAGATGATGGACGCTAGGACGATGGTGTATCGCCGTCCGATGAAGTCCGAAAGCCTCCCGGCGCAAAGGGAACCCACCAGAGCGCACAGGTTGAGAATTCCGGCGATGAGTTCTACGTTGACTTCGCTGATATCGAGCTCCTCTTTTATGAAGATCATAGCTCCACTCATAACACCAGTGTCTGCAAAAATTATACATAGACGGAGAAAAAATTATTTTTCCCATTTTTTGTTGCATGAAATTGATGTTTTGAAATTGATAACAAATTAGTTGATTTGGGACTAATACTTGCCTACTTGGCAAAGGTACAAGGTAACAAAATTCCTTATTCGTAAGTTCCAACTCACAAAAAAAAAAAAACTGTAGTGATTAAAACTAATTTTTGAAGTTTTCAATTTGAAGACAGATTTCTATGTCATGCATCAATTTGGTTCATTTCATCATCTCAAAAGATGAATTAATTACAAGATGTGTAATTATGTGTGTGTGTGTGTAGAATAAGAGAAATATATATGTAGAGATATACATACCATAACCAAATATGATGGTTATAATAGAGGCAACAATAGCACAGCCAGCAGAATATTTGTTGAGTTTCTTATCAGGTTCTCCATTGCCACCCTCCAATGAAACCATTGTTAATCCAGAAACTGTCTCTCTCTATCCTCAATCCTTCAACTGCGAATTAATCTATTAATTCAACACACACTTATATATATATAGAGAGATAGCCTAGGCCTATATCTATACGCACTCAAAAAAAGGAAGTAAACGCTTTAAAGTATGTACAACTCTCGTGGTGCCCACTACGGAATATGATATGATAAATATGGGAGAGATTTTTCTTTATCTTCCTTTTCTACATCTGCATGTATGAGGGATCAAGTATAGATAATATGACAGACAAGAAAATTAAATAATAAGGTGCTTTTATTTATTATTTTAAAAAACATTTTTTGAAAATTTTATATCCATATTTTCGGGATATTAATAGCCATTATCTTTAATGGCTTGAACAATATGGATAAGAACGAGGACAAATAGAGTATTAATTACCTAATAATATCCGTATTAGACGCCGCTTCTACCTACCTCTTTGAACTTGGACGTGTGCCAAACATTTATATATATATATATATTATTACTTCCGTTCTAATTTAAGTGTCTTGTTTTGAAAATGTATATGAGTCATACTTTTTAAAACAGAATACTTAAATTGGGATGGAGGGAGCAATATATATATATACACACAACTGCATATAATATTCAAGGGTTCATACCAAAATCTTGACTTGAGATTGAATTTTACATATGACTTATTTCTCAAAAAATCTGACTAATTTTAAGTAACAAATTTTAATTACAATTTGATCCTTATTTTAAAAGGAAAGTGATTTCCATTTAATCTCAAAATTGAGGAATAAAAGAGTTTATAAAGATATTTGAACTCTCATTTAAAAAAGTTCAACTCTCAATAGAATTCTGAACAACCTTCCCAGACTCTCATATATTCTTTTGTTTTCGTATCAAGTTAGGGTTTTAATATAACTAGAAATAAGAATGAAATTGAATCTAAATAATTTTGAAATTGAGTCTAAATAAAAAATCATGATACTCATTTAGATGACTAGTTAGGCTTGTTTATCAAAATAAAATAATTAAGGTCATTGATGACATGAAGTGGGACTTAAAAGAGGGTCCCATTGCATACCATCAGGACTATAATTAAGCTTAACTAAGTATGCCTAATATCATTTTCCTTAGAAGGTAGAGGTGATAGGAGTACATCTAAGTTATGATTAATAATAAATGAGTAATTAATATTATTTAACTTACTTGCCTGATGAAAAATGTTTTTATCCATTTAATGCCGTGGATAAATTCAAACGTGGATCCCATTCACTATAATATAAACCTTTAGGATCTCACAAATAGGTTCGCCTTATCAACCATACATGATATATCAGCTAGTTCAGCCTGTTTATACGCTATATTCATTTAGTTGACTATCAAAATAAAATAATAAAGGTATGACATGAAATGGGGCTTAAAACGTGGTCCCATTATAGACCATCATGACTATAATTAAGCTTAACTAGTATGCCTAATACTACGAGATAGTACATCTAAGTTATGACTAATAATAAATGAGTAATTAATGTTATTTACTTCCTTGCCTAATTGAAAATGTTTTTATCGATTTAATAAAGTAAATCTGTTATATCGTGATTGTGACTAATACACTGCGAACCATATTGAGAAATCGTCTAAGAATTATTTTTCATAATAAACATTTGGATTTTTACTTTCAACTAAGAGTTAGGTAAAGTGACAAGTATACAATTGCATCATGTTCCTATGAATAAAATGTTTGGACTAGACTGTGCGAGATTAGTCTTCGTTGCTCACTTCCAAAATTCACCGGAGACACTAACCACTGAGCTATCAAGACATCGGTACGTTCATATGAAATTAGTCTTCTTTAAGCATGTGAAAAGAAAATTAATAAATACAACCTTAATTAAATCTTTTTTTTTTTTTTTTTTTTTTTTGTCAGGAGGAGATTACTAGATTAGTCTACCTTAAAAATCACAACTCATTTTGCCTACAAGATAAAACTAGATTAGTCCTCCTTAAAGGTGTAGAAAAAAAAAAAAAAAAATTTAAACACAACTTTATTATTATTATTATTTTAAGATTATGTTTGCGTGTTTAACACAAAAACATTTTTGTTTTTCTGCCGAGTAACTTGTATCCGTAAGATGTTTTATTGTGGGATCCGCTTGTTATATTTTGGAAGCATTATTGTTTTTCAAAGTAGCAATTATGTCGGGAGTGAAAAAAAAAAAAAAATTCAATCAAACTTAGTCCTTTTTATTCCTTGGCAATATAATCAAGTTAATCATATAAGTTATAAAACTCACCTAAATTTTAAGCTGGCAAGTTTAAATTTTTTACTTATTTTTTTTAATATAATGTTGAAATCTAAACCATACCTTTCATTTTCAAAAGTGACAAGTTGACAACTGTGTCGGCAGTAAATAAAATTTCTCAATCAAACTATTCCTTTTCTTAAGAACAAAGAAATTAATTAGCAAAACAAATCAAGTCTATCATGTAGTATTATATTATATACTCAACTTGGGTTCTAAACGAATCAAATGTTTGACTAAACCACGTCATATGGGCTCACTCATAAAGTGGACTACTAAGTCACGAGACGATCGAGGCCCACAAAAAGTGGCCCAATAAAAGCACGGTCATTGGTCAATTTTTTCTCCTTGGGTTTTAAAAATATAACATATATATATATATATATGTATGCCATTTTAATCTCACTGAAGACAACGCCATTCTGACCTTATTGCCCAATTTGTAAGGTGGATCCTATCTTCTTGCCCAATTTGTGAGGTGGATCCTATCTTCTCCCAACTACTACGAGCGCAACATACAGAGGATATCACAACACACACACACACAAACAAACATATGTATAACATATGCACACAGCAAATCTCCATCTCCCGTACACACACACACACATATATACACACACACACACAGCAATTCTCCATCTCCCGTGTGTATATATATACACAGCAAATCTCCATATCTCTATACTCTTTAGATACTTTCACTACTTGTCGTCGGATACTTCACAATATATTTTTAACAAGTTCAAAATTTATTAAGCGATATCTAAGAATGTTTATTTTATGTGTTGTGAAATGAATTCTTATATTAATTAAATTAATGATTTTATTTAAATGCATAATATTACATTGCAATTTTTGTATATAATTTTGTTTTTATTCTTTGTCATACCCCGTAATATCCGTATTCTGTTTTTTATTTTATCATATTATAGTATCCGTACATATCATATTATATATGTACTCCGAATTTGTATTTTTAATTTATCTCTCATTTGAGATAAGTTATGATACATTGTTTGAAAATCAAATACATTTGAGATGAGTTATGATACATTATTCAAAAATCAAATGCTTGTCGCATTTATGAGAGCAAGAGATAATATCTTCTCCATTCCCATAAAACCGTCTGCTATATTAATTTTTTTTATTAGCTTTGTGTTTATTGTATTAACTATTAAGCAATAATAACAATAGTATGATGATTGATACGATGATAATAACGTAGTGCTCGAGGATAATAACAATTATTTTTCCTTTTAATAAAGAGAATGCACGTGGACACCTTGGGTACCTTGGGGTTGGTGACTCTGTCTACCCGGAGACACTTGGGTTGAGGGTTTTATAATTTGATCCAAAAAAAACCTAAACTATTATGTGAGATAAATACACAATTTATATATACCATTCACTTTTCTATCCGGATTTGATGTGGAACAAATCTTCCTTTTAACAATAAGTTTCTTCTTACTTAACATATATTGTCGATTCAATGGCTTCATATGAATTAGTAGTTTTGGATTCCTCTTAGCCTTTCTTGTTCTAATGTAGAGACAGGGTATGTTCGTTGTACCGTAACCCATAACTCATTTAGGAATAACTAATTCGTGTAGAATGGTTGGAACATCACACGATACAACCAATTTGAGTGTTTGGAATTATGAAATGTGTGGTCAGGGCAAATATCGTGTTCCTTGATCCCTTTCACCTTATTCTCAATCCAATGTGAAAACATGATTTGCTCGTTATATCTTTCATGACTCGATTAGGAATAACTAATTCATGAGTTGGTTGAAGCATTACATGAGCGACTATAACCATTCCGAATATTTGGAGTTATGAAGGTGCAAATATCATGTTTTTTTGGCTTATGCTTGTCGGGGACCTATCTAGATGTTCTACTATCTAGAAATATTTTGTGATGAATGGTTACATGGGATATGAAGTTTCAAATTTCTTTTTTTCATCTAAATAAGAATTTTGAATACTTTTTTGGGTTAGCCTATAATAGCTAATTTTTTTATTTTTATTATTTTCCACTCTCTCTTGCATTATATTTCTACTTCAGGACAGTGGAACTTATCTTAAGCTGGAGAAAATTGAACAAATGTTATCACACAGTCTATAAAATAATCTATATCTGGTAAAAAAAAATCTGTAATGAATCTGTAAAATTATACAATAAACCTTTTCAATATGTTCCATTTTTCCTGTCGCATGCAATCTCTTTAAATTACTTCTTTATAGGCCCATTATGTTCGGGATAATGCTTAATTACTCACCGGTGAGTAGTTTCACCCTACTCACCTCTTGTATTCCAATAATAATTTACCACATCAGTTTTAATAGAAAAAATAACCCATGTCTTCCTGTATTTTCTCGGATCAATTATTGAATAAACGTGGGTTATTTCTTTAGACGTGGTAAATTGTTATTGGAACACACGAGGGGTGGGTAGGGTGAAACTACTCACCTATGAGTAGCTAAACATTATCCTTATGTTCACCCTCTATTACAACTGCAAAAAAATTTCTCCACACGTCTCTATATATGTATTTCTGTAACATTTTGGTAAGCAATTGACAATTTCACCAACACTTTTCTTCTAATAACATTTGATTACTAGTATTATTTTTGGTTTTGAAATTTTGAAAGAATTTGTAAATTTAACTGAATAGATTTAATTGAATTCTAGGAATAATTCTCTTTTGACACGCTAAACAATAAATATATTAAAAGTGGTATGTATCTACCTCAACTTATATTTATATTTTATATAATCAATTCTAATTTTTAATGATATAATATTATCTGCTCTTCAATCTTGGTTACATAATAACTGCAATTTCTGTTGTGATATACTCTTTCTTGGTTACAAGGTGATTTACT